AAACCGCAGCCGTTTGGGAAGATCTCATACGCCAGAAACACTACCATCAAATGTTAAAAATTTATCTTAAAGTTTTCCTCCTTCGAACCACGGTTTCAGAGAAATTTTCGGCGTGCGTCTAGCCCACGGCCACCGATGCCCATGCTAAAGCAAACGGCAAACTTGTGAATCCGGACCGTCAGGTTTCCTGACCTCTACATCCTTCGACACCTAAACTAAGTTACCACTAGCCTCAGCTCCATAACGGAACCCGGGCCTCCAACCCACCATTTACCGACCCATTTTCTATTCTCATGACGATGGGGTTAAATTGGGCCGATAAGACACTGTGGATTCGAGTCCCGCTAGGTTGGACCGAATCGTTTCTTAGCCCAACGTTTCCACACAAGTCTCACTGAATATAATTAGTTCCTCATACAAACACGAGAAATTCTCCTCTAGCCACCACACATCTCTCTTGGTAGGTGATTTCAACTCCCAAGAGGCTTCCTGGATGGAACTCCAGCGTATCGAGTCTAGTAAACACATTGCATCGGCACTAGCCAAATTCGTTCAACAGAACGCTTGGACCCAAAATTTCGTAGTGCTCATCAGATACCGCGTAAGCCAACTACAATTCCCGATAGATATGGTCATCACTAACGAAAGACACTTCGTCCCTTACGCTCCCGTCGCACCCAATCTTGTCTAGACGTAAATGCGAACCGTCTTATACGACGTGGTCTTCACCAAGGAGGAGATCCATAAACTCTTCCACAAGACAACCCCTTCAATGCGTTGGGACCAGATACAGGTCCATTCAAGGATCCTGAGGGAAACGTCGCCCAATCTTCCACGTTGGTCGTTCGACGAATGTAACCAGCTCTCTGCTAGGAAGGGATTGTCAAACCATTCCAAAAAGATGGTGAACGATTATATCGCCATTTACAGGCCCGTTAGCCTTGCTAGCGTACCATTCAAGGTGATGGAACGCATTCTGAAGAGAACCGTCTTAAATCGCCGGCAAAAGCTTGACGTCCCCAGTCCAACACGGATCCCACCCTAACCCTTCCTGCGCGGCAAACGCGCTTGCATTAGTGGAACAAATGCTTCATAAAGGAAGCGACATTTCTCGGCTCTTCAGAGACATTCGATCGAGTCCCACATACCCCACTCGATTCCTATGGCAGTGAGGCGTTCTTGTCAAACAGAACGTTCCGAGTGAAAGTAGGCTCTACCTAATTGTATCGCGATATCTCGAATATCGTAGCGACTGGAACATGGGACGGCCTTGTGCAGCATATTCAGTTGCCTGAGGACATCACAAACGAGAGATTCAGCTGAATTCTAGGTAAGTCTCTCGAAAAACCAAATTAGTTTGCAAATGAGTGTACATTTGCTAAGTTCGTACAATTTGGTTTCAGTTAGAACATGAGGTTGACGGAAACTCAGGAACCGCGCCTACCTGATCAGCCCCAAAAAGGGCAAAGCCGATCGTGGGTTGTCGACGGATCTTCATTAACCTTATGTGTAGTACACTACAGAGATCTACCTAAATTTCTTCGGCGGTGGACCCCATTGAAGCTTTTCAAGGCCCCGTTTCAGGACCTGCCCTTCTAGACATTCCTTCAAATTTATGTCTACCTTTTGCGGGTAACTTGAATTCTTGTGGTCCACTTGTAGACTTTGAAAGAAGTGATCGTTCGACTGGCACCTTCACCTGAAGGATGAAAAATACGTCAACACTTCACTCGAAGGAGACTCGAAGAACCACTCTGTCGTGCTTGGCGAGAATGGAACATAAGCGTTCCAAGGATAGATATTAAGAGCGAATTGTGTAGCAGGCTCTCTTCAAAATTTCCTTCTCATTTCAGCATAAGAAGTCCGCTCAAACGCGTCCTCCATCCTGCGGATGATTCGGCGCACACCCCCTCGTATTGCTCGCACAGGCTTCCAAATACACCGTAAAGCCTATATCAAGACGTTGTTTGAATACGCCAACCGAGTTGGAACCTCACACTGGCAATAGTACTCGCGTTAAAAACTTAAAGAGCGATTCTATGCCTTATTTTCGCGTGTGCACTTCCAGTAGACAGAAGTCGCTGAGCGACGTGAACAAACGCTACACATGGAAAATGCTTTGTTCCCTGTGTCAACCCGCGGATCCGTGAACTTGGCATCCGGTTTGCGCCCAGCGAACAAAATGTTCAACCGGCTTTACCTAACTTTCTGCTAGAAAGCATGTTTTCTTCCTCCTTAAATATCAATGTGTCCACGGCAGTTAAACAAGGCTTGGTTGAGGTTGACTTTGATGAGGTTGATGCAGTCAAACTTATAGTCA